TGGGCAATCCTACTTCCGTAGTGATACTGCCTTGGAAACCCAAGGAGGGGTCGCTATGAGTCAGGGCCGACTCGATGGCAAATAACAACAACAACTTCAAGAAACCATAAAACATCTACATAAATGGAAGAACATACCATGCTCATGGATAGGAAGATTGAACATTTGTGAAAATGTCAATTCTACCCAAAGCAATCTATACAATCAATGCAAGCCCATTCCAGATCCCATCAACACCCTTTAAGGATATGGAAAAAAAAATCACTAACTTTATATGGAAAGGAAAAAGACTTTGGATAAGCAAAGCACTATTGAAGACCCACCAGCCACTCCTCAGAAGGAAGGTGGGACAATCTACTTCTGTAGTGTTACCGCCTCAGAAACCCAAGGAGGGGTCGCTATGAGTCGGGTCTGACTCGATGGCATGTAACAACAACAAATTGAAGAAAAACAAAGCACGAGGTCTCACATACAGCCAGAGCAGTCAAAACTGCCTAGTATTGGTATAATGACAGACACAAAGACCAATGGAATAGAACTGAGAACCCAGAAATAGATCCATCGACCTATAGTCAAAGGGCCGACATCCATTAAATGGGGAAGATATTGTCTGTTTAACCAATGGTGCTGACAAAATTGGATATCCATTTGCAGAAAAATGAAACAAGATTTGTATCTCACACCATACACAAAAACTAGCTCCTGATGGATCAAAGATTTATATGTGAAACCTAAAACTATAAAGTGCCTCAGGGAAAAACTACAGGCAAATTCAGGGGGCCTAATATATGGCATAAATAGACTATCAAGCATAACCCAAGATGCACAAATAACAGAAGATAAACTAGATGAATGGAACCTTCTAAAAATTAATTTTTTATGTGCTTCCAAACCTTCTCCAAAAGAGTCAAAAGAGAACCTACAGGTTGGGAAAAAATAGCAATAACATCTGACAAGGTACTTACCTCTAGAATGTACAGAAAACTCCAACACCTCAACAACAAAAAGACAAATAATCAAATAAAAAATGGACAGAAGACATGATAGACACTTCACCAAAGAGGATATTCAGGCAGCCAAAAAACATATGAAGAAATGTTCAAAATCATCAGCCTTAAGGAGAAGCAAATCAAAACAACAATGAGATACCATCTTGCCCCAGCACTAGTAGCAAAGTTCAACAAGACAGAAAATAACAAATGCTGACCAGGACACAGAGAGATAGGGACTCTCATACACTGTTGGTGGAACTGTAAAATGATACAACCACTGTGGAAAGCAGCAGTATGGCAATTCCTTGAAAAGTTGGAATTAGAAATACCATTTGACCCAGCCATTCCATTACTAGGTATATATGCTAAAGAAGAGGAGCTCTGGTAGCATAGTGTCTAAGACACGTGACTGTTAACCAGAAGGCTGGCAGTTCAAACCCACCAGCCACCCCTCAGAAGGAATATTTCTATAGGCATATTGGTATGTTCTGTAAGAATTCCCAGGTATATAATATTTCTGACAAGGGACAAAGTTGTAGTCACTTCTTGGCCACAGCCAGCTCCCCGGAGGGAGCGAACAGTTGGACCTGTGGGCTCAGGACCATAGTCCCAGGGGACATCAAGCTCAATTGGCATAACATACTACACAAAACATTGTTCCACATCCTACTTTGGCAAGCAGCAACTAGGATCTTGCAAAAGCTTGCAAGCAGCTTTTAAGACACAACGATGGATCTTTCCTCATCCCAAGCTAAGAAGAACAAAGAAATCTAAAGATTCATGGAAATAATCAGTCCAAGTTACTGGTACACCATGTGATCCTCAGCCTATATGAGTATGAGACCAGAAGAACTAGATGGTGCCTCGCTATCACTGTTCAACCACTGGAGGGGGATCTATGTAGGAGATCCTGGAGATAGTGGGAGAACAATGTGAAACAAAACTCAAAATCATTTAAAAAAAAAAGGTACCAAGTTTGCTGGTCTGATAGAACCTGATGGAACCACTAAGACTATGGCCCCTAGCTGCCCTTCAGGTCTGGAATATAACTCACTCCTGTGGCTTCCAAACAAGCAAAAGACAGGCATATGAGCTGAACGTTTACATTAGGTAGATACACTCCCTGGAGAGAACAATCATAGGAGAATAGAAGGGCTGTGTATGCACAGAGAGACAGCTTAGGGAGCAGGAATGCATGGAGGGAAAGACAAGGGGAAGAGGTAACTATGGGGAAGAAGTGGGAGGGGAGCTGTTGCACTATGGTAACTGTAGTCAATATCAGGAAACTGTACATGAGCCGCTTTACGGAAAGTGAATTTGCTCTGTAAACTTTCACCCAAATCACAATAAAAAAATATTTCAAAAAATGGACTAGAGACCTTTCCTTGTCTCAAAATGAGAAATGGTAAATGGAGGCACTTTAACCACAAAGGTAAAATATTTTTCTCATCCAGACAATGTTATATCCCCGCAATTGTTTTAAAAGTTGTTGTTGTTATGTGCCATCCAGTCGGACCCGACTCATAGCCGCCCCTCCTTGGGTTTCCGAGGCAGTATCACTACGGAAGTAGATTGCCGCATCTTCCTTCCGAGGAGTGGCTGGTGGGTTTGAACCGCCAGCCTTCTGGTTAGCAGTCAAGTGCCTTAGGCACTATGCTACCAGAGCTCCT